CCTCTTCTATTCCAGGATGTCCCCCCACTCCCACCTGGAACATAGTCCCAGACTCACCTGAGCTGTTGATATAGTAGCAATTGTAGTTACTCTTAGATATTTTGGGCTTCCTAAGTGAAATGTAATCGTTTTTTTTGATGACTTCCTGATACACTTCATAGCCTGGAATTAGCACTTCCTTTTCATATTGATAGCGAGAGAAGTTTTCTATTTTAACACCCAAGCAGGTTGTGATGTTAAACAGTGTTCTCTCATAATTGTCCATAAACGGTACAGTTACCAATAAAGAGAGAGATGAAGAGGTAAATTGGCCGAAACGTACATTTCCTTTCCCACTGTAATCAAACTTTGTCTTACAGCCTCTATAAACTGTGTAACACTCCCCTGTCCTGAGAAGCTGAAGAGCTCTTGTCAAATAATAATGGAAGGCTTTGAACTGAAAGTTACCTCTATTTTGACCAAAGTTTCTTACAGCTTTGTTAAATTCTATTGCAATATTTCCAGTATAGGCGACTAGAGCTATTCCATGGGAATCACTGAGTCCTTTTGAAGAGTCTATTTTGTTCTTCTTTTTCTCCCATAGTCCCATTGCATCTTCCCATTCTTTTCTTAAATTTCTATTCACTTTAAGTTCTTCTTCTAACAGCTGGGGTGCTTTTGCCTCCATTTCTTCAGTACAGCCCACATACTGATCATCAAATGCATCTTCAGCCATGCCTAGCTCACATGAATTAGCTGGTTGTATCCGGCCGGTCACCTGTAGAGAAGAGGTAGTGTTCTTGGACCCATTTGCAAGTACTGGATGCCGCCCAGAGCCCACAGTCTGGACTTCTTGCTTAGCATGAAATTGGACATGTTCCTGTCATAGCACTCATGTATGGTACACACATGAAGACAATCTTATTATACCGTGAGTAGTGTAAAAAGAAAAAACTAGGCTTTGTTACTCTGTTTTGTTTCTCGATATTTAAAATAATCTTTTCAGACTCATGCTCTCTAAATGGCTTTAGCCTCAGACTCAACTATGGGAACTCTATACTTTTAAAGATGTGAGGGAAAAGCTGGTCAGCAGGATGCAGATGGGAGGGGGGGAAAATATTACCTGTT